AAAGCAACCATTCTGTGAGCAAATTACCTGAAAATAACTATGCCTTTACTTCTCATATATTTTTCACAACTGATAGGAGTAAAAGCCCTCATGCTTAGGCCAGGGAACAGGAGCTTTGCTGAGGAGTTAGGGGTTTTCCCCACTTTCCTCCCTAATGAGGGGAAGCTGTGTTCAGGTCAAGGTATGTTGAATTTGAAATGACAACACACTCGAGTTGAGATATCCAGAAACAAATATCATCAGTTAAGAAAGAAGCCACATTGAGATTAATAAATGGGATTTATTGCCTTGAAGTGGGAAGGAATGTGATCATGATACTTGGGCCACTCTGTGCTCTCCTGGATGCTTGGCACAGGGACAGCAGAGGCCTCAGCTTGGAAACTTTTATACCCTGCTCCCCCTCGGCAGAGGAGTCCCAGGTTCCCGGGGTCCCGAGGTCCCATGGATTTCTGCTCTGAGAAAGAAAGATCCTGGGCAGCGGTGTGAGAAACCTGAGCACCCCTTGCTTGGATGGCCAAAGCTGTTAGCAATCAGGCTCTGGTCAGGAAGAATCAGTCTGAGGAGAGAGAGAGATGGAGGAAAGTCATCAGGGGGATCTGCTTCCTCCACAAAGGGCCCTGCCAGCCTGCAGCCTACCCCTATACAGGCGGTCTCTCTTTTTTCCCAAATCATCTGCAAAGACCTTTCCTACGGCTCCGCATATCTCTCCTCCGTTACTCAAAGATCCTAACCTCTACCACTCCTGTGACCTGCATATACTAACTGTGTGTGTGTATAACCAAGTCCCTAAATAGGAGGATGTGCCCCACAGTGCCCAATACAGACCTCCACACCCAATGGCATGAGGATCATTGTATGTCCTCCCCATGCCACACGATGATCCTGGTCACCCTACACATGTAGCATAGTGTCTAGCACCCATGGCTCATCCACCCCCTCCCAATGCCCTGATGTACCACCTGAGCAAGGCTTCTGGTAGTAGATGATGAGGACAGTGCCCACAATGATGCCCAGCACACCCAGGCCAAAGGCAATGCCACACAGCACATTCTCCAGAAGATCTGAGGGAAGAGCATTCTGAGGCACTGGAGAAAAAGGGGAGCAGGTCAGCTTGGAGGCATGGTTGAGGAGCCTTCCCCCCAGGGGAATGACATGAGCACCTGAGATGACAAAGAAGAAACTGAAGATTGAAAGATTGAGGTTGGCTCAGAGTTAGAAAGGACTAAACAGGCTCCAAGTAGAGAAAGAAGACCCCTCCCATGGGTCTATCACTTTTCTCCCCGCAAAAGAACCAGGCTTCCAGGGACAAGGGCCTCACCCCAAAAGGCAACTGCAGTGTAGCGGTCAATCTCATGAGTCACAATGCAGGAGTAAACGTCAGAGGGTTCAGGTGTGAAGTTTAAATAAGAAAAGGCCTGGAAAATGAGTCCATTAGTGGCTGAGACAAAAGTGGGGCTGACTCCTTCCACAGGGACCGAATGATGCTGCCAGTTCACCGACAATGTGGGTGGGAAGAGATTACTGACAAAACAGACCAGCGTGTTGGCCTTGCCATACTCCAGGGGCTTCATCGTGAACACCTCAGCAACAGGAAACCCTGGAGGGGATTGAGGTATGAAGAAAGAAGGTAGTAGTTTAGATGGTACCTTGTGTCATGTGGAGGGGAGGGCAGAGAAGGAGTCAGTGGGGATGGGCTTTTTGGAGGTGGAGATGAGCTGGGGCCCTGAGGAAGGTCTTCTTCCAGGGAAGAGCCAGAGCAGGACATAGAGGCAGAGCCAGATCCAGGCCACTCTGGACCCTGCCACTCTGACTTCTTGCCACACTTTCTGTCTAGACTTCATGTTGGCATCTAATTACACACTGCTTTCTCATTAAAATGCAGGCACATCATCAGAGACTTCCATTCTCCCCTCCCATCTTGCTGAGCACAGTAACACCAGTGCTAATATCAATTATGAATCATTATCAATCAGTGGGCATGAATTGGTCCCCATTGAATTCGTAAGTTCAATAAATAGCTTTGAATGCCTACTATGTGCTAGGCACTTGTCTTCTGCCCCACAACCAAAAACACAGGGTACAGACCATGCCTGGTGGAAGTATAAAGAACCAGAAAGCATCAGAGATGGGGAGCTGGTGTCAAGGGGAATAATTTTGTGTCTAGATTAATGAGGTTAAGACGGTCAGCACCCCCACCCTTCACCCCTACCTTTCACCCCCATCCCTGGCCTAACCTCTGGCCACTGGGATTTTCCCATCAAGTTGTGGGCCTATTTCCTGTATCATCATCTGGCAGAACTCTTTGTCAAAAGAAATGGCAGAGGCATCTCCCTGATCCTTGGCCCAGTCAGCAAATTCAGGCAGTCGAGGCACGCGGCTGTTCTGGGAAAAGTCGAAGGAGAAAAGCTGGTCCTTGTCATAGGCCTCAGAGAGTCCCAGGCTTGGAGTTCCGTTCTGGCAGTACACGGTGTGCAGGAACGTGTGGTTTTGCAAGCCATCCCGCCACACTGGGGTAGGAGCTGCAAACGAGATGGGGGAGGAGGGATGGCTCATGGAAGTAGCCACTTCCTTGTTTTTTAGCTTAGAAAACAGCAAGGCCTGCCTCAGGAAGGGGAGCAGAGGTAGGGGGATAAATGCCTCTTGTGTCTGTTATTTAGGCTCCTCCTCCGAGTGAGAGGGAAGAGGAAATTATGAGAAGAGGCACACAGGATCTCTCTAAACATCCCCTGCCCATAACAAGGGCAATTATTCTACTATCTAAAATCACAGATTCAGAGTCACCATGTTGGTTGTGTGGTTTGTGCACTGCACAAAGGCAACCAGCCAAGGAAGCAAGTGGAGGCTGAAATCTAGTCTGCACTCTGCTCACCAGGCATAGGGCTGAACTTCCCAAAGGGGATGTTGCTGTTGTTCGCTGCCATTGAGTCCGCCCTCAACTCATGGCCACCCCATGTGCAACAGGATCAGACTATTGTGATCCATAGGGTTTTTGTTGGCTGATTTTCAACAGTACATCACCAGGCTTTTCTTCCTAGTCTCTTAGTCCGGAAGCTCTGCTGAAACATGTTCAGCATCATAGCAACACACAAGCCTCCACTGACAGATGAGTGGTAACTACGCTTTAGGAGAATTGGTCGAGAATCAAACCTGGGTCTCCTGCATGAAAGGCGAGAATTCTACCACTGAACCACCACTGCCTTCCGCAAAGGGGATACCTTTGTCTACTTACATAAGGCCACCATATGGACTTGTGAAGGCCCTGGACAGATTCCCCGGTCTTAGAAGGGAGGAGAAAAGAATACTTATGGCATCCCCAAGCCATAAATGACACTGTCCCACTCTACCCCCTAGATATCACAGTACACTGGAAAACTAGTCTCCAGCCTTCTTTTTAGCCCTTTTCTTCTTCTTTTTTTTTTTTAGATTGTGGTTTAGGCAAAAGTTTACAGAGCAAATTAGTTTCTCATTAAACAGTTGATACACACATTGTTTTGTGACATTGGTTGCCAACCCCGTGACGTGTCAACACTCTCCCCTTCACCCCAGTTTCCCTGTTTTCATTTGTCCAGTTTTCCGTCCATTCCTGCCTTCTCGTATTTGCTTTCGGCTGGTATGTCCATTAGTCTCATATACATGATTGAACTATGAAGCACGGCCCTCACATGCGGTATTGTTGGCCCTATAAACCAAACCAAACCAAATTTGTTGCCATCGAGTCGATTTCGACTCATAGTAACCCTACAGACCTGTCTAATCTTTGGCTGAAGGGTGAACCTCAGGAGTGACTTCAGAACTAAGTTAAAAGGGTGTCCAGGGGCTCTTCAGTCCCTTTCATTGGCACCAGGTCTCTCTGAAAACGTCGTCCCTTATCTCAACCCCCAAAGCCTGGCAATGACAGGATTGGAGGAAGTGACCCTTTCCTAGCTAGAGGAAATAATCTCTTTTATTTGAAACCCCTGGCATTAATCCCCCCAGCCAGCAGGAAACCTTTTACCTAATGCTCCGAATAATAGACATTTAGAGTCTGAGGGATCTTTGAGATTATTCTTCCGTTCTGCCTCATCCTTTACAAACAAAGAAACTAAGTACAGTAAAGTTAAGAGACTTCAAGAATTACAAGTTGAGTTGTTGACAGAGTGCAAAGTAGAATACTGAGTAGAAACGTGGAAATAACATTTGCTTTGGTCAAATCCTCACTCTACTACTTTCCAACTGTGTGAACTTGAACAGGCTACTTAAAATCTTCGAGTCTCATTGTCTTCTTCATCTGTAAAGTGGACATTATAATTTCTGCTTTAAGAGATGGTCTTAAATGGAATAACATGTAAAGCACCTCTGACATTGTTTGCTATCCATTAAGAGTAGCTCTTTCCCAATTCTGCTATTGTTTCCACTACCCCATACTTCACACCACTTACAAAGCACAAGGCTCTTTTCAAATGTTCTGGGCTGGCTCCCTGGGCTCTAACCCCATCAAGATTGAAGTAAAGGGGGAGATACTGCCATACCTTCAGGGGCGGCCCAGGAGTGGGGCAGTAGCCATAGAAGTTGTAGCAGCTGTAGCAGCGCAGCTCCCTGGTTCTGCTCATGATCCATATCTTCACACCAGACAGCGGGCTCGGAGCTACCAACCCAGCAGACCCGGATCCCCAAACTTCCTCCCCAGAGGGTAGCCTTAGAGCACGCTGTCAGCTCACTCCCAATAGTTGCCCTTGTCCTTTTTTGTGTAAACCAATCACATGAGCGTACAGTTTAACATCATCAGTCGCTGGGGAAAGACCTGGGGCCAGCAACCTCCTGAAGACTTGGCTCTTTTACCTGGCCAGAGTGTGGTGTGTAACTGGGCTTGGTAGGCCAGTGGAGGAATGTCTGCCTCCTAGTGGGGTTCCCTCCTCAGTATCAAATTGCCAGCCTCAGCCTGCAACTGGACCAACAGGCTCTCCAAAGCAGTGCCGCCCAGTGGCAGAATTCTGCAGTGGGGGAGTTCATCTTCCCACAGCAATCCCCCAGGGCTCTTGGGACTCTCCCCTCCTCCTCTCTCCCTCCCTTCTGGAGCCCCTCTCCCATCCTCTTTCTCTGAAAGATTATTCCCCTTCAGGCGTGAGCTCTAATTCATTCTGTAGAAATAAATTGAAAATTATTAAGTGTTGGGTATTGGGCCCAGTGCTAGAAATACAAAGAAGAATAAGGCACATTCCTGACTTTAAAGGGTTCAAAGTCTACACAACAATTCAATCTATTCAAGTAAGAATGTGCTACATGTTTTGGAAGAATTTTATGGGGATGGGACAATAGGTGGAACATAATCAGGCTGGCTTCTAAGAGTCTCGAAGGAAAAGCAATTTGACCAGCAGATCAGTGAGGGAAGAAAGAAACATTCCAGGGCAAAGGGTAAGCAGATGTGCAAAGGTCAAAGGCATTCAGAGCCCCTTTGGAGACCCCTCTGTAGTTGGATGTGAATGTTGTAGAGACTGCTAGTGTGTCCTGTGTGGTAATTGGGGTGAGGAGGGTCAAGATGAGCTAGAAATTTAGGCAGGAGCCAGATCACATTGGCCTAGTACACCACAAGGAGAGTCTGGCTTTAACTTGGCAGATGATAGAGATGTTAAAACTAGAGCGTGACACAATCATTTTAGCATTTTAGAAAAAAAATGTTCTAATATTTCAAACAATGGATTGGAACTTGGAAAGAACTAAGGCAAAACTTCTGGTTAAGAGTCTATAGCATATTACATCAAAATAAAAAGTTGCACACACACACCACCATCTTGTAACAATATAGCAGTAATTCAGGTGAGAAATGATAAGGGTCTTAAGTCACGAACACAGGAGATAGAGAGGATAGAATATTTAGATGATTTCAAACCAAAAAAAAACAAACTCATTCCAAGGCTGTAAATCTTCACGGGAGCAGACTGCCACATCGTTCTCCCATGTAGTGGCTGGTGGGTTTGAACCACTGATAACCTTTCGGTCAGCAGTGGAGTGTTTTAGCCACTGTGCCACCAGGGCTATTTAGATGATTAGGAAGTATTATAGAATCAGTAGGATCTGACTACTGATTAGATGGGGGAAGGTGAGGAGATGGACGAGTCAAGGATAATACCGAAGTTTCTATCTAGCTCACGTGGCTGGGTAGTTGGTCAATGATGGACTTTATCAAAATAGAAGACAATGCCATAGGAGCAGGTTTGAAAACAAACAGAATGAGTTCAGTTTTTTACATGTTGAATTTACGATGCCAGTGTAACAGCCAGATGGAGCCTTCAGGAGGCAATGAGGTATATGGGTGAAAGTATGGGCTGAAGAGCCTAATTTGGGAGTCAGCAACATACATGTGGGAGTCATCAGCACAAATATTGAAGCAGAGACCAGGGATAAAACCAGCCAAGTAGACTGCGCAGAGGGAGCGGGAAGTGAACCAAGGATATAAGTCTACATGGGCTCAAACTCAAACCTCATACCAATTATCATCCAGGGTCCAGTCAGGAACACAGATCCATTCTAGGTATTTCAAACTGGGAATTTAATATAGAGAACTGGTTACAAAGTATGAAAAGGACAAGAAGTGCAAAAGGGAGGAGGCTAGCTGGAGGTGGAAATATGAAAGAGTGATATCTGGAAATCAAAAGATGCTATTACCTCTGGGCTGTAGTCCAGAAGTGTACACCTGCTGCTGCTGTGTGGGAGACAATGTCATAGTCAGTTCTGGATCTACTGAAAAGGTGCCACCTCCATCAAGGCTGGAATAATTGAGAAGGTACTTCCTCTGCCCAGGAGGCCAGAGTCCAGAATCACCTATTCTTGCTGCAGTTACGTATACTAGAAATGGCCAGCAATTGCTACACTGTTATAGCCTGAAGCTAGAAGCTTCTGGGTTTCTCCTGCCTTTTGATCTCCAGGAAATACACACCTTGCAGACTCCTAGGTCTAACTGTGCAGAACACAGCGTAGAATGGTGGGTGCGGCATTAACAGACAACAGATAATAACCAGTACACTGAAATACAACAATTTGTAAGAAGTTGGTGGCACTAGGAGCATCCAGAAAGCTAAGAGAATAACAAGGAGGGAGCAGATTTAGAAAAATAAAGAGAGGTGTTCCATGAAGGAGGGCAAGGTCAGCATTATCAAATGCTACTGAGAAGTCAAGGAAAGACTAGAAAGTGTCCTTGGATTTGGTAATTATGAGATGGTTGACAAATTTATTGAGAACAGTTTCTGTGTTGCAGTAGGAGTCAACTCCAGATTGCGGTGGGCTGAGAAGTAAGTGGGAGGTGAGGAAGAAACTGTCAGTGTCTATGCTTCAAGTTTGATAGAGAAGAGAAAAAGAAAGACAGAAGGGGTGGGGGAAGAGGCAGTGAGAAAGCTCTAATGTGCCAATTAAGTAAATTTGAGAAAGTAATCTACATGAATATGGTCCTTCAGTGTTTCGGAGACTGCCAAAATCTATACCTCTGTTTTATAAAGAAATACGAGCACCAAAATCAACCAAAAACAAACAAACTTATAACCTGAATATTATGAAACAGTAATGCATATATGTGTTTGTGTGTCTGTGTGTGTGTGGTGGAAGTGGGATGCCAGGGTAGGGGTTTGGAAGTTATTGTGCTACACTCCAAAAAACAGAACGTTTTCCCAGTATCCCAAACTTTGTGAACTAAACCATCAGTATTTCTGATGGTGGGGAGATTCAGGTCCCTTAGGAAAGTAGAAAGGAAATTTCTGACATCACCAGGACTGTCAGGGGAGATATATGGCACCCAATCACCTAGAGTTCTATACCGAGGTCGGCAAACTTTTTCTGTAAAAGGCTAGATAATAAATATTTTAGGCTTTGTGGGACACCCTATCTCTGTCATGAGTGCTCAACTGTAGCACAAAAGAGGCCACAGGCAACATGTAAATGAAAGAGCATGACTGTGTTTCTCGTTTCCTCCTAGTTTTTCCTCTTACTTCTCTGGTATGTCCTCAGTCTCCTTTGTGGACTCCTTTCTTTCAGCTACCCTTTAAATATTGGTGTTCCCTGGAGTTTTGTCCTCAGCCTTTTTTATTTATGGACACTGAAAGCTGAACTTTATATACTTTTCATGTATCACAAAATATTCTTCTTCTTTTGATTATTTTCAGCCATTTAAAAATATGAAAACCATTCTTAGCTCTGGAGCCATATGAAAACAGTTGGTGGGCTGGATTTTGCTCACAGGCTATAGTTTGCTGACTCCTGTGCTATGCATACGGTCAGAATTGGGACAGGGGACGCAAAGTTAATCCACTCTTTAAAGAAGAGCCCTTATTTATAGGAATGGTGATTGGTTAATGAACACATTGTGCCCTAGTTACAGCAGATTATTTGGAAGGAGGTCTGGGGGAAAACAGGAAAAGGACTTGGTGGTAGAGCTTAGGAACACGTGGAGCAGACACTGCAACTACTAAGGGACAAAGGAGAAAAGGAATAGGCAAAGGCATCCAAGTTTTCCACAGAGTGTAGGGTGTGGACAGGGCCAGAGTGAGAAATAGAACCACCTTTCACTAAGATTATGGTGAGGTGTGGTTAACTCTTTTCTCTCCCTTCTGTATTCTCAGCATAAATGATACATTTTGACATTTATAGCTACCCTTCCCTCTATGCAATCCATCTTCCTGTTAAGACCACCCCTCCACCCCCCATCTCCATACTAGATACCTTAGAAATACCCTCTAACCAGTTTGGGGAAGTAATAATCCTGGGCAAGATGAGCAAGGCAGCCAATTCTGCATCCCAGTTAACTCCTAGCCTAATTTGGTCATTAGATATGAGTATCTTTGAAAATAATAGCATAGCATCTGTAAATCCACTCGCCTCTCCCATCCCTTTCTAGTACTGCGCCATTTTTTTCCCCTCAGAGCCACACTTCTTGAAAGTCAGGGTAACCATGTGTCCACTTCCACTTGGCATTAAATCCTTAACTGTCAACAATGAAATTGTTCACCAATATCTTTGTGTTGCTAAATCAAATGGACCTTTTGCAGTCTCTGCAATATTTAACACTTTTGGCCATGCTTTCCTTCCTTAAATGGTCTTTTTTTTTTTTTGGCATCCCTAACAGCACCCTCTCCTTGCCTTTCCTCCCACTACTCCTGCTTCTCCTTCTTGGTCTCCCGTGGACTGCTTTCTTTCAGTTACCCTTTCGGTACTGGTGTTTCCTAGAGTTTTGTTCTCAACCTTTTGTCCTCTTACACTACATACCGCCCTGGATGGTCGCATTTACTCCTACATGCCTTCAGTTATCACCTATTTGCTAATGCCTTTAGATGCCTCCACTAGGATGTCCTGCAACAGCAGTTCTGAAAAGAAATAGTTTTAACAATACTATTTTAAGGATAGTATTCTTAAAAACAACATGTAAATTTCATGGTAGAAAATTTTTATATTAAAATTTATCTCAACATAAAATACACCACGAAGTGCATTTATATAGTATTTTTGATCATAATACGATTTATTATCCTTACCAGTTTTGGTTGCAAGGTATTTTAGTTGCAAGCAATAGAAACCAATTCTGGCTAACTTAAATTAAAAAGTTGAGGATTTACTAGAAGGATATTGAGCTAGCTCATGGAATCAAAATAATTGAATAAGCTAGCTTCAGAAAGGGTAGCTATAGATGCCTTAGCAGCAAGGGTTGAGTTACCATTTACATGCCTCATCTTCAAAGACTTCCAGCCTCTATCTTTCACTTTTTACATTGAGGAAAGACAATCTGACTGGCTCAGCTTGTATTAGGTGTGTATTTCCCAATCAAATTAGCTGTGGCCAGGTACAATATCATCTATGTACTAGAGTTATTCCCAGAGAAGAGGGAATCATCAAAAACCAAGCAACCACCTCAATACAGCTATCTTTAACATATGGCATAAATATGAGGTTAAATCTGT